GAGCGGCAGGGGGCACTTAAAGCCAAACCTGAATGCCCTGGGGGTGGAAAGACACCCTCCCCCCGTTCTGTATGGCATACTTTGCCCCACACTGAGCCATGGAGTATTAGGAGGAGTAGGTAAAAACACTTGCGCCTGCTTCGGCAGGGCGGGCGGGGTATAAATCAAATAAGTTAGTAAGTTATTTGTTTTAAACATGTATAAGCTGCCTTGCTCCCTTACCAAGCACAAGACAGCTCACATGAAAACATAAAAACCAGATTTTAAAACTGCAACTCAGGCCTGCTAGTAATATTTTTTTTCAATTAGCTTTTTCATGACTGTCGTTATTTCAAATGAAAAGAGGGATACGGAAAAACCAAGGGGGAAAGGGGAGATATAGATGTTAATCGATAACTTATTCGTAACAAGGACGATCAACATCAGAGTAAAAGGCCCGCTAGTCATCTTAACCAAATGCAGTTCCAAGCAAAGCCATCTACAGTGGCCTCCGAAAGATCAAAAGGAAGTGGGCACATCTGGAGATGTAAAATTTCTAGAAATTTTGAAGCTCAGAAAAACACCCTTTTTTTCCCGGGGGGAAACTGGAAATTTTCGGAAATATTGAAAAAAACGCTACATTAGCCCTTCTTTTTTCTTTTCCAGATTGAAAGTCATTCTGTTACTTTAGGAACATAAAATATGACTATGGACATTTTTACTTGGCATGAAATTATCACAACTAGCATATTAAAAATATAGTGTATCCAAACCATCATTACAAACAGAATACCCACCCACATGCAAAAACAAAACTGAAACCTTTTCCTTTTCTTGTGACAATAGCACCTCCTAAAGGAAGAAATGCATTTTGTCCTTGCATTGGAGAGTTCAGTTTGTAACCTAGGACTTGCTTGTCCTCAGTGCACAGAAATTAGATCAATCTGATACCATACATATTTTTTAGAAATTATTTGGAAAATAGTTGAATACCTTGTCCTAAAATATTTTATTCATCATGTTAACATAAAACGTTCCATAATCAATTTCTTTTCTTTTCTCAATTTTTCGGTAAAAAACAAAAAAGGCTTCAGGAAAAAAACGGGGGGGGGGGACGTTTCCCCCCAATTTTTTTCTGGTTTTTTTCCGGGCCTTCACATCTTTAGGCACACCTCTGTTGGAGAGATTGTTCCATAACTGTGGGGCTGCCACTGAAAAGGCCCTCACTCACGTACCCACCAATGAGCTTCTTTGGTTGACGGGACACTCAGGAGGGCCTCTCCCCATGATCTCAGTTCCTGGGCAAGAACAGGAGACAACTGTCCAGTGTTCCCTCTAAGCTGAGTGAGTGTGAGCCAGCTCACAGCTTTTTAGCCTCTGGCTCACACATTTTTGCCTTGGCTCAGGAAGGAGGGCTCCAGAGCAGAGGTTCCCAAACTTATTTGGCCTACTGCCCCCTTTTCAGGAAAAAACAACTCAGTAGTACCCTCCTGGAAATCTACCTTCCAAGAAGTGGACAAAAAGATGCAGTTTGGGGATCTGCACCTGGATCGTTCCTGTGCCCCCAAGGGGGGTGGTCTTGCCCACTTTGTAAAAGAGTGCTCCAGAGCAAACTAACTGATGCAGTAGCCAAATTGCTCACTCACAGCTTTAATGCCAGTCGCTCACAAAGTAGAATTTTTGCTCATGAGACTCCACAGCTTAGAGGCAGCATTGCAACTGTCCCTGGTCCCAAGCCATGTAGGGGCTTTTAGTAAATGTTTCTATGCTGCCCCCCGTCAGCGTTATCCGTAGTTTAGTAAAACTGCTCTGTATCTTTAAGACTTGTTGCACCTGGGAATTGTAGTTCTGTTAGGGGTCCCAGAAGCTTCCCTCTGACTGGCTCATTAAGAGTAATTTCCTGAGCTCAGAGGCGCAAAGATAGGAGTTTTATTGTTCTTTTCCATTTCTTTGTCCATCAACCCTTACTGCAAGGAGAGGGGAAGCCCATCTCTTTCTCACCGCAGCTATTGAACTGACCTAGATCACAAGATCTAACTTTCCACCCAGCTATCTGGTCGATTGTGAGTAAATGATCTTCTGAATGCGTGTGAAGTTAAATAAAGATGATTTAAGCTCTCCTCAGTAGTTGAGGTTGACTCACACCTAGAGAGCGTTGGCTCTTAGCACAGCTCGCGCTGGACAGGACAGTTTCCCTTGCTGTGTTGGTTTGTAACTCTGCACGGTTATATTTTCCCAGATACTTTTTGGGGCATTATTTCTGATTTTGTGATCTAGTCTCATCACATTGTTGATTGGATGTCTCATGCTATTTGTGCTGTTCCGCATTAGTGGAGTCCACCTTGAGTCTCAGTGAAGGGCTGTGGCTCAGTGGCAGAGCATCTGCTTGGCATGCAGGAGGTTTCAGGTTCAATCCCCGGCATCTTCAGCTTAAAAGGATCAGGTGGCAGGTGACGTGAAAGACCTCTGCCTTAGACCCCGGAGAGCCACTGCCAGTCCGACTAGACAATACTGACCTTGCTGGACCAAGGGTCTGATGCAGTTTAAGGCAGCTTCATGTGTTCATGTGAGAAAGGTTGGCTATAAATAAATAAACAAAACTTAAAAATGGGCAATTTTGCACTCACTCGAGTGGAACGAATCCCCTATGAGGTCAAGGGGGCTTCCTTCTGCCCCTGAGTCACATGAAGTGGTTGGGAGAAAAGTTGAGCAGCAGCGAGAATGCTAATGTTGCCAACTCAAGGTCAGGACATTCCTGCAGGTTTGGGGGGATGGAGCTGTGGGAATGTGACAATGACAAAAGATTTTTGATTTAATTTTCAAAATTTGATTGACGTTTACCTGTACCTAGATACCTGTGCATTCATAAGCTTTAATATAAGAGATGAATACTGCAGGGGTCATTTTGTAGAAAAAGAGGTGCAGGAGCTCATTAGCATAACTTATTTGCATGTGGTTGGGAGAAAAGTTGAGCAGCAGCGAGAATGCTAAATGTTGCCAACTCAAGGTCAGGAAATTCCTGCAGGTTTGGGGGGATGGAGCTGTAGGAGTGTGACAATAACAAAAGATTATTGATTTTCAAAATTTGATTGACGTTTACCTATACCTAGATACCTGTGCCTTCATAAGCTTTAATATAAGAGATGAAACTGAGGGCTGCTGGGAGCAAGGGGTGGGGCTTGTTGCACGTGCCCGCCCCCTGGTCTCCTTACTGCCGGAGCTCCGTTCCTGTGCCCTCCCGCAAGAAATGACCCCTGTGAATAAGTATTCACTAGGCTTTTCTCTGTAGGTCAGAGTGTCCATTAAACACATGATACCAGGCAAGTAAACATTATTTTCTTATCAGAACTCTTGGCTGGAGTAGCTGTTTAGCTGTCTGGCTGTCTTAATAAACATTGAATGTATTACTAATAGAATAAAGGGAGGATGGGTTTGACAATAAATGTATTTACCTAGTCTTACTTGTAGCATAAGGTTCATGTGCCTGGACTTTTGATACAAGGTTCCAAAAAGTTTGAGTCAAAAGGGCCTTATGCTCCTTATCTGAAAACAACACTTTTTGTTTGGGCATGAAGGGTCCTTGGTTGAAGCTGAAGACGACCTCTTTGTTCTATGTCAAGTAAACAATTAAGGTATGATGTAGCTACACCTTTCTTGTAACTGACCAATGAATGTATACTGACTCAAATGGTGCCATATTACCTACCAATGAGGATTTCTGTGTGTTATCTCTCTGCTTATGTCATTTTGGGTATGAAACCTTATGTTCTTCCTTGCATTATTCAGAAAGCAGCTGTTTTCGACAGGTACTTTGTTAACCTAGGGGGCTGCGGTGGCTCAAGTGGTGAAGAGACTGAACTGCAGACCGGAAGGTCGGTAGTTCAGCAGTTCAAGACCTGAGTGCCGAGGTGAGCTCCTGTCTCTGGCCTCAGCTCCTGCCAACCTAGCAGTTCAAAAGCAAGAAACTACAAGTAGATAAATAGGTACCACTTCGGTGGGAAGGTAACAACGTTCAGTGCGCCTCCGTATCTGGTCATGCCGAACACATGACCACAGAGAAGTCTTTGGACATCCCTGGCTCTTTGGCTTGGAAATGAGCACCGCATCCCTAGAGTCAGATTCGACTGGCTTTCGAGCAAGGGAAACCTTGACCTTGTTCACCTACTTCTGTTTTCCCTAATTGTTGCCATCAATCTTAATTCTCCTAGGTGACACTTCAATCGTGTTGTTTGGTGTCGTGGTTAAGTGCGCAGACTCTAATCTGGGAGAACCGGGTTTGATTCCCTACTCCTCCACTTGCACCCAGCTGGATGACCTTGGGCAAGCCTAGTTCTGATAAGAGCTGTCCTTGAAAAAGAGCAGTTTCTGTCAAGAGCTCTCTCAGCCCCACCTACCTCACAGGGTGTCTGTTGTGGGGAGGGGAAGGGAAAGGAGTCTGTAAGCCGCTCTGAGACACCTTTGGGTAGTGAAGGGCGGGGTAGAAATCCAATCTCTTCTTCTTTTTGGGGGCACACGAACCACGTTTGTGGAACACGAGGGACTTCCAGGCCCAACAGACTTCCACCCTCCCGAGTAGCCGCTTCCTCCAGAAGAACTGATTTCTGCTGCCTGGAGAGATGCGTTGCAATTCCGGGAGATCCTCAGCTGGAGGTTGGCAACCCTGCGCGAAGGCCCGCGCCCACTGAACAAGCGCACAGGTTTGCAGGGGAAAGAAGAAGAGGGGCTTGGCGGCTGTCGCACCCCAACAAGCTCCCCCCCCAGCTCCCCTCCCCCCCCAGGGGGTGGTGCCCCAGCTCTCCTGGCTTTTCCGGCGGGCTGCAGGGAAGAAAGGGGACCGCCGAAACACGCATGCGCTAAACCCCGTGGGCCGCCTGGTCCCTTGACCCTTTCCGGAAGTTTGCGACGGCGGCGGCTGCGGGGGTCGTTGATTGACAGCGTTCGCACCCTCGCTCTGGCTTGTGATTGGCTAGCGGGGAGGAAATGAGCACGGGCTCTTGTTTCCCTTCCGGTTTACTCGGACGCGGCGGTCGTGATGATGGCTGCGCCTGGGGGGCTGCGGGTGAACGCGGCCTTCGCAGAGCGTTACGGCCGGTACCGGCGGCGGGAGGAGCTGCAGCGGCGTGAGTGGCCGGGCGGGCGGGCGGGGGGGGGTGGCGCTTCCTCCGGCAGGCGCGCCTCGTCCCCCCTCCGCCGCCCGCCTCAGCGCTGCCTTTGCTTCCCTTTTCTCCTCCAGTGCAGGACCGCTACGGGGACGCGGGCGACAGCGCGGAGTCCAGCTCCGAGTCGGAGGACGAAGAGGAGGCGGCGAGGGTGAGTCGGGCTCCCGGAGGTGTGGGCAGTGTTCCCTCTAAGCTGAGTTAGTGAGAGCCAGCTCGCAGTTTTCTAGCCTCCGGCTCACACGTTGTCTTCGCTCGGGAAGGAAGCAAACTAATTTACACAGCAGCCAAATCACTCGCTCACCACTTTAACGCCAGCAGCTCACAAAGTAGGATGTTTGCTCACAAGACTCTATAGCTTGGAGGGAGCATTGGGGGGGGGGGCAGGCTCCCCGTGGCCACCCTAAGTGCTCGGCTGCAGCTCCTACCGGTGTTCTCCTTTTCATCCCAGCAGGATCTGGAGGCCGACAGCACCTTTTACCGAACGCTGGCCTTGCTGAAGACTAAGGACCCCCGCATCTACCAGCAGGACAACGGCCTGGGCTCCCCGGAAGGTACTTGATCCTGCAGATGCCTGATCTGGGGCCACACTTTGGGTTGTCGTCACGCATTTATTGCTCATTTGGTTGGGTCATTTGTTCTGTTTATACTTGAGGAAAAGAGCCAGAGCCCAGTAGCACTTTAAAGATTAACAAAGTTTGCGGCAGGAGCTTTTACAAGTCACGGCTCACTTCATCAGATGACGGCTAGAACATGAGTCCATCTGTCCTTACATTTTGGAGAGTGGGGTGATTTCAAATGCTGGATGACGATAGCAGGTGTGTTTGGATTAGGTATGATATTGTCATTCATCTGCTGTTGTCGTTTGCCTGCTGTTGCCCAGCAGGATCTGGAGGCCGACAGCACCTTCTACCGAACGCTGGCCTTGCTGAAGACTAAGGACCCCCGCATCTACCAGCTGGACAACGGCCTGGGCTCCCCTGAAGGTACTTGATCCTGCAAATGCCTGACCTGGGGCCACACTTTGGGTTGTCATCACACATTTATTGCTCATTTGGTTGGGTCATTTGTTCTGTTTATACTTGAGGAAAAGAGCCAGAGCCCAGTAGCACTTTAAAGATTAACAACGTTTGCGGCAGGAGCTTTTATGAGTCACGGCTCACTTCATCAGATGACGGCTAGAACATGAGTCCAACTGTCCTTACATTTTGGAGAGTGGGGTGATTTCAAATGCTGGATGACGATAGCAGGTGTGTTTGGATTAGGTATGATATTGTCATTCATCTGCTGTTGTCGTTTGCCTGCTGTTGTCATCCAGCATTTGAAATCACTCCACTCTCCAAGAAGTAAGGACAGATGGACTCACGTTCTAGCTGTATCTGAAGAAGTGAGCTGTGACTCCTGAAATCTCATACCCTGCCACAGATTTTTCTTAAAGACTAAGGAAAATCAGTGGCAGGATATGAGATTTCGTGAGGTGCTACTGGACTCTTTCTCTTGCTACAGACAGACTAACATGGCTACCCATCATGATCTGTCTCTATTTACACACTAATGTCTTAAGCTATACTGAATCAGGTGCTCAGTCCATCAAAGTCAGTATTGTCTTCTCAGGCTGAGGTCTTTCATGTCATCTAGTACTCGATCCTTACTACTGGCAATGCCAGGAAACCTCAGACCTTCTTCATGCCAAGTAGGTGCTCTACCTCCGAGCCATGGCCCCACAATTTGTATCCTGACTTTCTTTTCTGCCCTTCCAAGGGCCCCTAAGGCAGCTAACAATTCAAAACGTACGTAATAAAATCATATTTAAAAAACTAAAAGTCACCACACACTGATTTTATTTCACTCGGGTCTGGGTCACAAGGTGGTGGAAATGCTTGGTAGCACAAGAAGGGCCTGACCCGTTACAGAAATGTTCCCCCATGTTAAAAACTTACTTCAAACCGAAAATTAGCAAAGGCAGGGCTGGAAGCTTTTCCCTCCCTGCCTCACTAGTTTCGTTTCCGTAGAGCTTTTCACACAAAGAAGCATTCGAGTCCGAGTTCCTCCATGTTTCATCTGAAACGGCACAGCCCTTGTTTCCACCTCATTCTTCTTTGTATGCCTTACATAAAGGCCTTACTCTCTTGGGAGTTGCTGTTTGGTCCACCACGCTTGGCTTTGTTCTCAGGGTCCTCATCAGGAAGTGAGGATGAGAAACCACGTTCGAAGAAGAAGAAGAAAGAGAAGCCCATGTACTTGAAGGACTATGAAAGGAGGGTCGTCTTGGAGAAGGGAGGGTAAGACATAACCAAGCCAGTTGGCTGCTTCCTGCTGTCCAACACCCTGTCCTTTCCTGAGCTTCCTGAACTTTGAAATGTTAGGATGAGGTTGTGTGTCTTACCTTTCAGTAATGGTCTCTTTGAACACGTGAAACCTCGGCCTGGAATCGTTCCTTCTTGCACTTGCAGCTACAGCCTTGCAGCCAACAATCGATTTGAGTGGATGTGTGAGGGTTGTCCTCTCTGCTACCATGGGATGCCTTCATGCTCCCCCCCCCCCCTGCGCTTTCTGTAATTTTTTTCACTAGCATTCCTGGTCCATGTTCTCCTGGCCATGGATGTTGAGAAGGGTAAGGTAGTGTTTTGCACGATTCTGATGCATATACTGTCTGTTCACTGTTTGTAAACAGTAGAAGAACAGACAAGTAAATCGTATCGCATGAGAGCAGCGTTGTTTTTAACCTTGCATCAACTTGCATGGTGCTGGGGATGGTTTCCAGAGCTTGGACGTGGGGATGTTTCCATCTCAAATGCACCTCGGGGAGCAGGGAATGTCATTTCCCTGTCTTACAAGCAGGTGATTAAAGCTGAGTGAGGCATGTGTAAATAAAGGTGCTTTATACTGAGTCAGACCCATGGTTCATCAAAGTAAGCAGGGGTCATTTCGAGGGGGAATGAGCAGGAACGGCGTTCCGGGAGTAACAAGCCCAGGAGTGGGCACATGTGGCAGTGGTTGTAGCCATATCACAGCTCCTTTTGCCCAGTTCCCTCAACCCCTGAGCAGTGGTTGGCTGGGGAAGGGCAGGCAGGCAGACATGCCTCCTTTTTTCCCTGAGCCTCTCCGCTTTTGCAGAGAAACTCGGGGAAGTGGAGGGGGGATTTAAATGCCTTTCTTTCCCTTCCCCATTTTAAGCATGCCTGGGTTCCCTGCTCGATCTTCTCCAGGTGCCCCTGGAGAAGATTGGGTAGGAAACCCAGGCATGCCCTTTGTCAGGGGGTGTGGCATATGCAGCTAAATTATGCAAATGAGCTCCTGCATCTCATTTTGTACGAAATGACCCCCTGAAAGTAAGTATTGTCTACTCAGACTGGCAGCAGGTCTCCAGGGTCTCAGGCAGAGGTCCTTCACATCACCGACTTCCTGGTTCCTTTAACTGGAGATGCCAGGGATTGAACCTGGGATCTTCTGCACGCCAAGCAGATGCTCTACCACCGAACCACACCCCTTAGCACATTCCATTGCAGATGCTCTACCACTGAACCACACCCCTAGCACATTCCATTTCATATGGGAATGCTGATAATATGGTTTCTATTGCTTGTAAGTTTGAACTTAATCTGTGCACTGTGTTTTGTCACCAGGGCGTCTTGTCTAGTGTTTGGAATTCTCTGGGATGGGGAAGGTATTCAGTATCATGAGAAAAGGAATGAGGTGTTTTACTGAGGGCAGGTGGGGCACCTTTTTGTTAGGATTTACAAAAAGATCTGTAGAGGGACTGTTAAGGGATTCAGAGCCTTACATCTTGTTGGGTTTTGTGTGCTCAACAGGGTGGTACAAAAACTTACTCTTAAAGGGGAAAATGAAATGTTCACAGTCGTGGGATGGGGGGGAATGATTACATACAGAGATAAAAGTAGCAGACATTGAAAATGGCAACTCTCAGAAACCTGTGTATGTATTTCAGCTTTTCCTAGATATTTAGAGAGTTGACATGATTAATACACACACAGCGCAGTCAAAGGGAAACTTCATCTTGAAGTTGCTAATTCCAGGTGGTCAGCCGTGTTGGTCTGAAGCGATGGAACACATTTAGAGTCCAGTGGCACCTTTAAGACTAACAAAGGTGTATTCAAGGTACGGGTTTTTGTGTGCATGCACACTTTTTCAGATACATTGGAATGGAAGGTAGAGTTCAAACTTTAAAGGCTTGATCAGGAAATTAACATGTAACGTGATGAAGATGTTTTAAGATGTGCAAAGACAAAACTAAATAACAAGCTAAGGTTATAATGTCAACTCAGCTTGTTATGTGTTTTTGTCTTTGCATATCTTAAAACATCTTCATTATGTTACATGTTCATTTCCTGATCAGCCCCTGCCTATAACGTTGAAACTTACCTTCCATTCCAATGTATCTGAGGAAGCTCATACCTCGAATAAACCTTTGTTGATCTTAAAGGTGCCCCTGGACTCTTGAAGTGGCTAAGTTGGAGCTCACATGCAGATTTAAATTTTGTCTCAGCAGAAACTTGGAATGGATTAAGAAAGCAAATCTTGTGGCCGCTTACAGACTAAAATATTGTGCCATCAGCTTCTGTGGTCTACCTCTGTCTTCTCTGGAATAAAGTGCTGAAGTCTCATGTGCCTCTCTGAGGGAATCCACTAATGCGGAGATCCTCTCTCTGTCTCTTTGCAGCAAGTACGTGGATGAAGATGAAGACGGAGTAGCAGTCAAAAACCAGTTGGTGAGACTGGGAGGGGAATGGGGAGGGGCAGAGTCTGTGTGGACGTAGGGCAAGGGGTCCCCATGGTGTGGG